CAGCATGAGAAATATTTCAAATTTACTTGGATACGAGTAATCATTTTCAACAACAAAATCAATAACTGTCCATTTTAGTGGGACACAGATCTAAAATGGGAAACATTTGAGTGGGCATTTCATAGGCACTCTAAATCTCTTTACTGTTGGACAATATGGCACAATATCTTGAACCCTATTGAATTTCTAAGAAGTCTGTTGTATTAGTTTTTCAGAAGTATGATCATAATGTCAAATTTAGCTGGTAAAAAACCAACATTAGAAAGCACTCTGATCACCTGGTCGTCTTGATTTGCATACAATCTTTTGTTTTATTTTGGTGTTTTTTTCAATAAAACAAAATATCCGGTATGGAAGTGTTTAATTGTGGATGCAAGGTTACCATGAAAGTTGGGTTACTTCAAAATATTTGCAGTAACCTGGTTTTCCCCATTTACACACTTCGATATTTTATTTTATTAAAAAAACACCAAAAAATAAAATAAAAGTCTGTATGCAAGTCTACTGGTACCAGTAGTCAACATGTATTTTTCTGTTTCATCCATTCAAAGTCAAAACCAGGTGCTAGGAATTTTTTATCTAAGTATGATTAGAATAACTGTACAGTGAGCTTTTCTTACTGATACATTGTAACACAATTCGCTACTACTAAAAGTTATTCAGCAATTTGGGAAACAAAATATAAAAAAAAAATTGAAAAAAAATCTGCATTCCCAGAATTCATGTAGTGTATTGAAAGATATGTGTACTGATGAGATTTGCCTGAGTTTTAACAACCAATATCTGTCTATACAAACCACATAGAATTGTGTGAAACACCAACACATAACACACATCTTATTTTCAAACTCAAAGAAAGCTAGAACTTTTGTGTGATTATATTATTTAATTTATATCTTATATTAGGTATAGAAATTCAACAAAAATGCTTTTAATATTCAACAAATTTTCATTTATTTAACACATAACATGCATTAAAATGGCAATTTTTAATTTATAAAAAGATATGGCAATTTTTAATTTTTGAATATATATATTGATAATAATTGGGAAAAAATGCATCGTTCTTTTCTTGCAAGTTTGTTAGAGTGGCCTGTGCTTTGTGTGATGTCAGCAAAGATGACTTGGCAGTGATGGAATTCTTCTGTGAGAGTGAGAGTAATATGATGTCTACATTTGGCAGAATGATAGCACTGTTATTGTTGTCATGGTGTGGTACGTGACATATTTGATGTTACAGATATATGTGAATAATGGACACCATCTGATATTCATTAAAACAGCCACCACTAAACTATAATTTATACGAATAGGAATGTAAATTAATTGTATCTACACGTAGTTACAATACCTTGACATTAGGGTCAAGTAAGTATAAAACATATCAATCTAAACCACATGCTAAGACACATATTTATTTAAATTGACTTTAATAATAATTTTTCAGTTGCACAATTCCGGTTCCAGGTTTTATTGACAACCATGCTTTAGCTTTACTTGTGACAGAATCACAAACCGTGTTTAGTGTTAGCCTATTGAAACTTAACATTGACCGACACTTAAAAAAGCGTGTTTTGTTATACCAAATAATAAAACAACATAAATCGAACATTGGAGTTTGTAAACAGCACAACTGGCATGGGCATTTGCAATAAAAACATGTCATTTTTTACTTCTATGCGTAAAGCACATAATGGGAGTCATTGCAGTTAGTGTGTCTGTATATGTGTGTGTCCGACTGTTCTAGTGATATCTAAAAAACCATATGTTGTTTTTTGATGAATTCAACTTGATGCATACCCGGTATATGCTCTGGGCTGATACGCAGCTTTGATTAAGTTTTGGTGAAAATCCCATGCATATTGATTACCTAATTTGCATGATAATTTTTAGCTGTTCCTTGACTTTTCCACTGATATCTAAAGAACCACTCATTGGATTTTGATGAAACTTGGTACATAGATGCTCTGAACATATGCACAGACCTGATTATTTGTGGGTAAATATCTCATGCATATTAATTACCTAGTTTGCATAGCAATTAGTCAATTTTCAGCTTTTCCACTTGTATCGCAGGTCATTACTAATCATCACATTTCAATGAAACTATATACATAGATGTCATAGGACAATAGATCCCTTTCATAAATCAAGCGCCCTCAAACACTTCCTGTTTCAGAGAGAGGCTAGTAGGTATAGAAATTTCACTGTCTCCATAGACAAACACAGCAGCTATCCATGAAGTACTGTTTTAAAGGTAAGAAACGTTGTGAATTATGAATTTATTTTGACCCAGTGCTAAGCTGAAAGATGAAGTCTGCATTTATAAGGTTTTCATGTTTGGTTTGTGTGTTTTTTTTTTAAACAAGTCGTAAACATTGACTTGCATAGAGTACATCTGCAGACCAAATTTGGGGCAATATCAATATTTTTTATACTGGAAAATACATGTCTACAAATTATGTATTTAACTGTGGGAAGTGCTATTATACAATCAAGAGTATTATTAGTTGTCTTATTCTATTTAATTTCCAGGATACACATTTATTTAGATGATGGCATTGGTATTTAAAGCAAAACGAAGTCCGAAAACGGGGACTTGTAATTCGGTCTTCCTGCGTCCATCCGTTCATGCTTCTGTCCGGAGTCATATTTCAAAATCCATCAGGCCGATTCTGTTCATTCTTTGCATGTTTCTAGTACTTTTATGTGAGACAAATGCACATGCAGTGGTTTAGCGATTCAATTCAAAATGGCCGACTGGCAGCCATCTTGTTTTTTTAATTTGTCGTATGGTAATGTAATTTTAGTGCCTCATTTCGATCCTCAGACTTGCATTTACTCAAACATACTTTAAACAATTTTAGCAAGTGCAATAACAGACATGCACCTCAATTTGTTTTACTTTCACTTGTGATCTATGTTTTCCTTTGCTATGTCTTAAACTGGAGGGGTTGTCATGCAACACATGTTCGAATTTGATGTAAATAAACAATCTGTTGTATTTGCCACATGGGACTCGAGTTTCAAGGACACGCTCGCAACAAACCCTTCGCTTTAATATGACGAGCACAAAGAGAACTTTCAAAAATTTATCGGGGATGGTGTCATTTTCAATGACTTGTTTAGGTTGATTCATACTGGTAAAATGTTCAATGTTAATAATTCAAATATGGACTATATGTGTAATAATAAATACAACAATCGATATATATATATATAGATAACAATTGAGGTGAAATTTAAAATGTAAATTGAATAAAAAGTACAGAAACACTTGCGTACAGTTTCATGTATGTATTACATATTTGTACAATACATTTATAATTACTGTATGGATTTTATTTTCACTGAATCACTCCTTCAGCGAAATTAATTCCAAGCGAAAATAAAGTATTCCACAGTGGAAGTAATTTATTAATACAGTAAATAAGTGGAAAATATATGTGACAAACTACGTACAAAACTGATTTTCTTTCCTGAATTTGACGGATTACACACAGGCTTTGTTTGAAGGAGCACTAGCCATTGTATGTCTTCCTTGTGCTATTAAAATCCCAGAATCGTTCTTAATATCAACTGTTATAAACATAAACGATTTCCCTGATTTCAAAATCTTGGCATTAATAAACAACTTCTCTCCAATCGAAGCTCCTTTCAAAAACCTGAACAGAACAAGGAAATAAATTGTTATAGCAAATATTGTAACCAATATTCATTGTTCTTGTGTAGGTTTGATATTGGCGATCCACTCCGCTAGAATTGTCCTCAAAATCTGGATGGGCCGATTTTGTTAATACTTGGTAGGCAGGTCGTAACTTAACTCTGATTGGGTGATAAAATAGTTTGTGGAGTAGGGTTAATAAATAATATTATTGTACATCTGTCACCATAACGCCATAAGTTACAGCATGCCATAATTTTGCAGTATTGCACTGGGTATTTTCATCCTACCATATAAGGAAATGCAAGACCAAATATGGAACAATTGTGCGCGTAAGCGTTTTTCTAATGATAAAAACAAACATGGCGGCCCCAATGGTTTCAGACCAGACCCCACAACAAAAAAGTTGGCTAAATCTGTAATATAAACTTTTTGTATTTCGGCATTCCCATGATGCATCATTAGGAGGAAAAGATGTATAATAATAAGTTTATCATGAGGATACCGCAAAGTATGCACTCAGACAGTACGCCATCGCATCGACCTCCGCTCCGCTACTCACACTGTACTGTCTTCGTGCATACTTTTTGGTATCCTTGTAATAACCTCATATTATTTTTACTTACGATACATTTAGATCAGTGCTGACAGGACTTATAAATTCTTTATGATGAACCAGCACAGCAATTGTTGATAACGTATCAATCATAGTAGATGTCATTCCCCCATGCAATGCATCATATCTATTAGCATGAATGCTTTCGACTTCCATCTCACAGCAAAGTTCACCTGGCTTGGCTGATATGACATTCGCCTATGTGGGTAGAAGCAAAGACAATATTATTAGCTCTGCCAAAAAAAGATTAAAAAAGTATTGTGTGAAGTTATGATACCATGAACCATTAAGAATTGAGACTGGAGTAAAGTTAATATATTGTCATATAGAACATTTTCAAATGGATGATAGCAGGTAGGTATGCGGTAAGATTTACGAGTCTGTGGATGATACATTGTCCACCTTCTGACAACTACAAAAACAGTATGCTTGTGTCAATTTTAACCAATTTTAGCAAACTGTTATTACCGTATATTATCAACAAAACATACTGAAAG